GAAGACAGTGCGTGTTCTGCGCTTGTGCGGGAAGGGCTTGTGTGCCCACAGCCTTGGGCTCCTAGAGATGAAGCTCTCCCTGCGGCGGGAAGGGTGGACCCGGCCTTGCTCAGGCTGCCTCGCTTACCCCCCTACCCCGACCCCCACTCCCTGCTCGTGACTCCCTGAGTTCTCGCCCTCCCCTCCAAGGCAGAGCGGAGGAGGCTGATATCTTAATCTGGTAGGCACAGGTGTCAGGAAGGTGACTGGGGTGTATCAACTAGAGAAAGTTCCAGAAGGAAACAGAATTCCATGCTGAACACTCAAACGAAGGTATCTGAATGAAGGGCAGGGGTTACGGGCCTCATAGAGGGGCTCAGCGAGGAGAAGACGGCATCCAGAGACTGATGAGAGCGGAGGTGAGGAGGGAAAACCGTGTCCCTGGAATCCAGTGGGACTGCAGGCCTGGCTGCCAAGTGGGACAAGTGAGTCAAGCAGGGGCCCAATCGCTGGCTGCAGGATGGTCCCGCAGGCCAGGGACAAGGCAGAAATATCTCAGATCTTCTCACTTCGTGCCCTTGCACCTTCTCTCGGTGTCATTTGGGGTCCCGGGAAACACAAGAGTTGACCTACCAGGACCAGGGAGGTGCAGCAAATGGGTCTGTGGTGGAGCAGTGGGAGACGAGTGGAAGGGAACAGCTCTGCACCGTCTAGCGTGGAGGGTACACGGCTGTGAGCCCTGCTCACTCTGAGGTTGATACAGAATCCAAGCTCCCTGTGATTGAGCCTTAGCATGCAAAACAGCGCGTGCACTGGACTTGGCAAGTGTCGCCCCACAACCCTCGTGACAGCCCTCTGAGAGGATGACTCCACTTGTTTTCTAGGTTTAATGGTCGATACGGCAGATACTGGATGTCGATATTTAGGACCTGGGCAGCTCTCGCAGGTATCGTGCAGGCCGAAAGCTTAGAAGCCACATTTCTCAGAATCCCAGTCGGCTTCCAGTTTAGATTCTCGGCCAAGTTTTAGGAGGTGGAGAAAAGGGAGCGTGGCAGCTGTGTGCAGGTGCACAGGTTTCGGCCAATGGCGGCCGTGAGGTGTTGCCATCAGCCTTGCATCTCCTGCAATCAGCTCTGACGCTGCAGACAGCCATTAAGATCTTTTGTGGTGGATTCTGCAGTTTCCTCAGCTCTTGAAAGCACGCCTCTGTTTCCTGACCTTTGCACTCAAGGCTTCTTAGTGATTCTTTAAGCATAGGTTTCCACATTTTAAATCCCTCTCTGCTTGAGCGTTCTTGCCTCACGCTCTCTCCTTCTCCATACAAAGAACATAACCAAGCACAGAGTTCCAAGCTCTGCCTGCCTAGCGATTTCTTCTCACTACATCAACTCTGCATGCCTCTGTACTGCAGCACAGTTTTGATGGGCCTCTGCAGGCCCAGGACTGAAAGGTTTTCCTCTCTTGTCAGCTGGAATAAGGACTCTCCTCAAGTGCTAATGCCAGTGGAGAAGCTGTCACTGAGGGAGGTGACATGGGAGTCTGGGCCACCTGTCCATAGACCTTCCTTTGACTTGCCTGAGCCCAACCTTCAATGTCCATCAGAAGGTGGAGTTTTGCTGGTCTGCCAAACCATCCTGCTTGGCAGGTGATGGCAGGCAGCTCCAGTCACACTGTCCTTTGCTGCCCCAGGGCTCAGAACTCAGTGCAGGAGGCACTGTTCTCTCTCTCTCTCTCTCTCTCTCTCTCGACAGGCAGAGTTAGACAGTGAGAGAGAGAAAGAGAGAGATAAAGGTCTTCCTTCCATTGGTTCACCCCCCAAATGGCTGCTATGGCCAGCACACTGCGCCAATCTGAAGCCAGGAGCCAGGTGCTTCCTCCTGGTCTCCCATGTGGGTGCAGGGCCCAAGCACTTGGGCCATCCTCCACCGCCTTCCTGGGCCACAACAGAGAGCTGGCCTGGAAGAGGAGCAACCGGGACAGAAGCCAGTGTCCCAACCAGGACTAGAACCCGGGGTGCTGGCGCCGCAGGGGGAGGATTAGCTTAGCGAGCCGTGGTGTCAGCCTAGAAGGAACTGTTCTACATACAGTAATTCTGTACTGCAGAGGGTAGCTTGCTTCATATCTCTAACCATCGACTAACTCTACTATTCTGACTTGCCAGAGACTCCATATACCGTCAGTATCTCCCATGGTCTCGTGGACGCACACAGACATCAGGATTAGTTGGGTGGTAGGGGGTAACTTATAGCAGGGAAGCAGTGGGGCACACACAAGTCCCTGAGCCATCATTAGTCTAAGCTGGTCACAGATGGGCTGTAAATAGCATGGCCAGTGTTCCAGGAGGCAGGACCCCTGTCCCCAGAATGCTGCTCCTATTGTGTGTGTATTGTGTATGTATTGTATGTATTGTGTACGTATTGTATTATGTATTGTGTATGTATTGTATGCATTGTGTATGTATTATGTATGTATTGTATGTATACAATCCTATGTATTGTGTGGGTGAGAGCAGGGAACATCTCTGAAATTACATCAAAACAGAAGCCTCATGGGGTGGGAAAATTGCCTCGTCTGTAAGGGGGCACTTCAGAGACTCCAGAGCCCAGCAAAGTGTTAGTTTCTTCTTCCACTGAGCTAATCGGACCTACCGAGTCAGCTAAGGGAAAGGCCAGTATGTCAAGTATCCCAGCTGGGAAACAAACCCCTAGGCAAGCAGCAGAGCCCTGGGGCCCAGAAGAGAACTGTAACCCAGTCTCAGTGGCCCGAGAGAAAGGAGCCCACAGACCTCTCCATCCATGGGACAAAGAGCGCCAAATAGAGCAATGAGGGGCAGAGCTCCCTCTGACCAGTTCATGTTTGGAGTATGTTATTTATCTTTTTACTTTTATTTGAGAGGCAGAGACATACAGAGATCTCCCATCCATCTGCTGGTTCATTCCCTAAAAACCAAACACAGGACTGAGCCAGGCCAAAGCTTGGATCTGGGAAACCAGCCCACGTCTTCCACACTGGTGGCAGGGCCTCTGCTGCTTGAGCCATCATCTGCTGCCTTCCAGCAGCAGGATCAGGGGAAGAGCCTGACTCAAGCCAGGTACCACTGATACGGGATGCAGGCGTGTAATTGCTGGTTTAACCAAGCCGAATGCCTGCCTCTGGAATGTGCTACATTCTGTTCAACTCAAAAGACTGTATTCCTGCACACTTTTGCCAAGAATTCCATGAGATGAGACTTTCAATGCCAACTTGGTTAGGCTCTGGCAACCAGTTATATTTGGTCAAATGCCAATCTACATGTTGCCGTAAAGGCAATTTTTAGATATGATTAACTTTTTAAAATAAACAATTTTATTTTTAAAATTATGTTACTTTATTTAAGAGACAGAAAGAGGAACAGAGCACTCCCATCAGCTGATTCACTCCCCCAGATGCCTGCAATGTGCAGGCATCTGAGACCAGGATCCAGGAACGCAATCCAGGTCTCCCATGTGGGTAGCAGGAATCCAACTACTTGACTCACCACGGCTGCCTCCTAGGGTCTGCACTAGCAGGAAGCTGGAGTCAGAGCTGGCGCCAGGAGTTGAACTTATCTATAGAACACAGGCATCTTAACCACTGGGTCAACTGCTTGCCCCATGATTAACATTTATATCAGCAGACTGTGAGTGAACTAGACCCCCTTCCACGTGTGCATGGGCCTTTATCCAATCAGGTGAACATCCTAAGGAGAAGGAATCTTTGCTCCCAGGTGGCTTTTGTATTCAAGACTGCAATATCACCTCTTCCCTGGGTCTCCTGCTTGCCAGGCCACCCTGCAGACTTGAGACCAGCTGGCCCTGACCACCATGGGGTCCAATGCCTTCTAATAAGTCTACCTCTTCATACACACCCCCACATTGCCTGAAAACCTCATTTTGTTGCAAAACATTTGGAGATCCATGCACTTTTCGTAATACATATTTTCCACAAACTTGAGAACCCATGTGTGCATACATGTGTGTATAGAAATGACAGTATTTTATCATTTTATATATAAATGAAAGAAAACTCTGTATATACCAGTTGCTGATTAATAGAGCCCTGTGAGGAGATGCACAAATTTGGATGTAACATATATACTTGAAGTCATGAGCTACCCATAGCCACATTCCTATATCCTTCCAACACCTGATACATATCCAGTGCTCACATATCTGAGTGAAGGCGTGCGAGGTGGACTTAAGCAACAAGAAACCCTGAAAAGACTCCACGACCAATCCCTGACTTCACTCTGTAGCACTGGTCTTTAAAAACAATCTCCCAGTTCTCTAAAAGGGAAGACACTATCACTTCCTTCAGGCCACCTTTTTATCCAAACTTTCTATATTTGGATCTGTTAAAGGGAGGGAAAGAAAAATATGGTCTCAAAGTCCCAAGTCATCATCTCCCCACTTGCAGCTCCAAACTGGACATAGGACTCCTGACCCCAATTCTATTGCAGTGTTGCTTCTATGTGTAGGCTGGGGGAAGAGCACCTGTGCCTCAGATGGGGCACACTCTGTGTTGTTAGTGGTGTTTGGGTCTCTGTTAAGTCCTGACCTGATAGAGTTAAAGCTGTTCAATAGCTATTGTGTCCTATGGGAGACATACAAGAAGTTAATAGGTGTAACAGAGTGTTGCTGTGCTGTAAGATCTTAGAATGCATCGCACTGAATCTTTTTCATAGATAAGGAAATCCAGGACCAGAAACACATCTCTCAGGATTGGTTTTCCGGTGCATTCCTGAAGCACTGACCTTGACCTCCCTGTTAGAAGTTATCGTTTTCCCTCTGGGATCCCCTGTGAACTGCTTGCACCTCTCTTTTTTGCACTACGTTTGATGTTCCTTCGTTGGATTGTGAGAGTGAGGAGAAGCGAGTCTGTGTTTACCTTCTGGAGCCCGGGGCAGAGGCCATGGCAGGGTAATGCTCCACAGGTGCTTGTGTAAGGAGGGGAGGGGAGCAGGGACGAGAGAGAGAGAGAGAGAGAGAGAGCGGGCGCATGAGTCCACAGCCTAGAGATCTGATTTATCTCCAGTCAACATGGCGGCAAGCAGCATTTGAGACCCCAAGCCTAGAAGGAAGGGGTACTGTGGAGCTGGAGTCAGGGAGCTCCTCGGGGCTGCTGAGATGGTGAAGGCTTTCCCCTCTTTCTGCGTCGCTTCCTGGATCCATGGAATAAATTGGGCCACAGACACAAACAGACCAGGTCTTCCCCTGGTGCCGGATCTTATGCCCCAGCTGAAGACACCCACTTGGAAGAACCTCTGAGTCCCACGCATAGAGCAGACCATGGGCGCCCCACTGTCTCCCTGCAAGTGAGAGAAGGAAGAAGCACTCACCTGCAAAGCAATCAGCAGTACCTCCAACAGAGGACGTGGCGGGAGGTGGGGGTCCTACTGCTATCAGTTTGGGGCCTCCCTCCTGGGCTTCCTCCTGGGAACCTAGAAAGGGGTGGAGTGTTGGAGGGGGAGGGGCTAGGCAGGGGCTGCGTACCTGGCATTTGCCATTGGTGCCTGGTTCCTGCCAGGCACAAATCATGTTCTTGGAGAGCTCTTTTACTCTCTTGAGGCATTCTTTCCAGTCAACCTGTACCACCCTCAGCTTTTTCAGGTGCATGTTTAAGCCATCGTAGTGGCCTGGGAAAGTGAGGAAGTCAGTGTGAGAATGAGCACTGCATTGGCCGCAGACAGCGATGGGTCCATGGACGATCAGATTGGAAGTTCTAGAATGGGTGGAGGGGGGAGCCTTAGAGGGGACCTATGTAAGCCCCCACTCAATAGCCTCTCCAGTCACTCCAGCATATGGTCCCTCTGCTAAACGTGTCTCCCGGGGGAACTTCACTGAAGCCAGCCCCTGCAATGAGCTGTGTCTCCGCTGTCTCTCCGTAGCCATACTTTGTCCCTGAACAGAAATTCAAAACAGCGCAACCTCTGAGTCTGCCATGCCAAATGGAGAAGCCAGGAAGAGGACACACCTGGAGGTGCCATCTTGTAGAAAGGAATTAATCATGATGCTAGAGCAGCCCTTGGCTTTCTCTCTATCCCACTCCCCCCTCCCAGAGGCCCTTCCCTGGCCGGCCAGCCTGGTGCCCTGCAGGGAAAGGAATGGGAGTCATCAGTGACTGAACTCAGCTCAAGGTCACCTTGGGATGGTGGTCTGCGTCAGGTGGTCTACATTAGATGCTTCTAGGTCCTCAACAACTATCCTTACCTCTCACGTTTTGAGATCCTTCTATCGCAGGATTTTACTGAGGACCTCACCTGTATAATTTCATGGAATTTAATCCACATAATTCACTTAAGGGAGAAATGGCTGTTATTCCACAGATATATAGAGGTGAAAAGGAGAAGCTGGTCCAATACTGAAAAGCCAGCAAGTGGTCAAGCTGAAATTCAGCGCTCGGTCTTCCCACACCCAAAGCATCAAGCTGTGCAGCCCGGGGCAACCTACATGGATGCCCTCTATAGGTGACCCAGGGAAGGCACATACCATACCCATGAACCGACACCCACTCTGCCATCCAACACCGGTCCCAGATCCTCTCTCTCTCCTGCAGGCAGATGGGCATTTTGAAGTTGGTGAAATTTACCGGTGTGGCAAGCAGGAGCAGAGCAAGGTCACTGTCGAAGAGGGGTGGCTTGTAATCCTGGTGAATAATGATCTTCTGCACGTGCTTTCTCTCCGCATGGATATTGCTGTATACTCTAGTCCCCATGATCACAGTGAAATCTGTTAATGCCGTTTCCAACCTAAAGAATGAGTATAAAGATGCCAGTGCTAACCATAGTGTGGGGAGCAACTCGGACTAGACTAAGTTACTGGAATTAAGACTTATTCTATGCATCTGCTCTCCCACAATATGGTGCTGGGAGAAGAGTAAACAACTTCTACACAGCTGCCTCCAGTTCAATAACCTGCAGGAGCTGATCCTGCTCCTGATTGGAGGAGAGCAGCTTACTCGGCGTGTGGGTAGCAGAGTTGGGATTGGTGGAAGAGGACTATAAAGGAGGAGAGAGACAACATGCACCAGGAACATCTAAAGGGAACATCCGGATAACATCTGAGCAGCCCCCGAGAGAGCCAGCCGGCGGTGGGCCACTCCCCCGCAGAAGTGGGGAAAGTGGCAGAGGGAGTCGCCCTTCCACGGAGGTGGAAGGGACGGCAGCCAACCCGGGAAGGACCAGCAGCAAACCCGGGAAGGGCCGAGCAGACAAAAGAACAGCGCAGGGTCCTGTGTTGTTCCTCCACGAAGAGGGGGAGCGACACCATAGTTGTCATGTGTTTCACACTCTCAGACGCAAGTGTAGGATTTACAACTAAATACTGGGAAATTCAGAGTAGTGGTTGTATTGCAGTGGCCTAGAGAGTAGACAGAGATTGGATAGGTAGGAGTCATAGGCCAAAGCTCAGGGGAATCTCTGAGCCGAGGAACCATGAGCCCAGGGAAAACCCTCTTCCAAAGGAAGTGAAATGCATCCATCAGAAGGAAGAGCATTGTGCTCTCCTTGGTGACGGGGCGCTTGGCTCTCTTGTCAGCTGCTATAGTCCAAGCAATTAGAACAACACATAGTAGGTGCTCAGTGAGTATGTGAACAACAAGTGAATCCAAGATATTGTCTTCATGTACTGAGGACAGGTGAGAGACGCCTGCACTGATCTTCCAATATGGAGTGCATGGTCACAATGAGCAGCCCACCTTTGGATATGGTTGATTAAATAAAGAGGAGAGAGTTGGGGCTGGCGCTGTGGTGCAGTGGGTTAATGCCCTGGCCTGCAGTGCCAGCATCCCATGTGGGCGCCGGTTCAAGACCTGACTGCTCCACATCCGATCCAGCTCTCTGCTATGGCCTGGGAAAGCAGAAGAAAATGGCCAAGTCCTTGAGCCCCTGCACCCACATAGGAGACCCGGAGGAAGTTCCTGGCTCCTGGCTTTGGATCGGCACAGTTCCAGCCATTGTGGCCAATTGGGGAGTGAACCATTGGATGGAAGACCTCTCTCTCTCTCTCTCTCTCTCTGCCTCTCCCCTCTCTGTGTAACTCTTTCAAAATAAATAAATAAATCTTTAAAAAAAAAAAAGAGGAGAGAGTGGCAGTAGAACAGAGATTTTTGGGGTCTGAAACTAATTGGAACCTACTGGGTATACAGCTCAGCACCCCGATCCCATTGAATGACCTAGCCCCAAAAATGACATGGATAAGATATGAGGTAAACTAAGACAACACCGGAGACACTTACAAGGTCCTTGGGAAGCAATGTGCAGCCGTCAGAACCCACCACCGATGTATGATGGAGCCTGCACAGAGGTGTTTCCCAGACAGCTGGATACTCACTTGCCACGGGAACTCACCATTCTGGACTTCAAGCAGTTCTTGAAACGGCAACCAGATTGACTTCAGAAAGGCAGGTCGGTAGCCACACTGAACCTTATCTGCATGAGAATGAAAGAGCCACCTGTCACCATGAAAAGCACAGAGAAATCCTCTTCCCGTATTCTCGCATCTGCCCAGCTCAGACCAGTGACAAAGTCGAGTGAAGTAAAAAAGAGCAGGCCTGGTGGGGACAGATTGTGGGAAACACCAGCAAATCACACTCCCATTCGTGTCAATTCCTGACAGACCCAAAAAGTTGTGCTACCTGGGGAAGTGGGGGAAGAGCTCCATCAGGCAGGGCATCAGCCTGGGGTGGCAATGGGGACACACCAAAGATAGGCAGGAGACAGGAACCATGCAGTAATTTGAACAGGGAAAGTTTAGCATGAAAAATCAAAAGGACTAACTACTAAGAGTCAAGAGGATTCTAAGCAAACCTCAGGGCTAGGGGAGAGTACCTAAGGAGGAAGCAAACTTGGTCTTGGGCATCCAGAACCCACTGGGGAAGGTGTGTGTCCAGCCCAGTGGAAGGCAGAGAAGTTTGCTAAGGGTGACTTGGGCTAGAGCTGGTAGCTGCTGCTCAATAAGCAGAAAACCCTTTGAGGTAGGTGGACAGAGAACTCTGGCCGGAACTGGCAGCAAGAAACACCTGCTGGGTGTAGGTGTTCAAATGGCAGCACACAAGTGCACAGAGGGAGTTTAGGTGTTGGGAGCCTGCCTATGTCCAATGGTGGCAAACCTAGGATGTCTGTGTGTCTGCAGTGGGACAGCTGCAATGGGAGGAGGTGTAGACAGTTTGTGGGGTTTCAAGTTTGATTAAAGGGAAAGAAAGATGGGAGCAGAGGTGGCGGTAGCACAGCCAAACTTTATCTGGGGGACGCTTTGATAGATTGGCAGGCAGGCCCTTTATGGCATGAGACCAGCCAGAGGCTAAGGCAGGGGTGTGTGTGTGTGTGTGTGTGTGTGTGTGTGTGTGTTGGGGGGGCGCTATCCAGAAGAAGAAAAGGGGACTCCCAGGGGAGAGAGGAATCAGAGAGGGGGTTTGTGTGTCTAGGTGATGTTGCTCACTAGCAAGGTGGGGAGTCTCTGGGCCCGGGAGCTCCAAGGGCAGTGGCGGTTGGAGGTACAGACTTTATTTTGTCTATGGCTGCAGATGCTGGGTACAGTTTCATGCAATGTAGGTGGGCTTGTGACGACTAAAAATCTGCTCATCGTGTGATGTTTATAACAACCGGATGTGTAGACAATTGAGTTTTGCATCTGTTGTATTCTAAGCTAATGGGTGTAACTTGCTGTGAAGAAATCAGCAAATGTGGGCCAATATACAATATATTTACTCATTTGTATATGAGAAGGTCCCTAAAAGTAGGAGCTCGCTAAGGGATGAGTAGCTGTACCCGAACACTATCACATGTGTCCCCTCTCCTTGCTGGCAACCATGCAATAAAAGCCAGGCACGAAGCCCACTCCCTCTGCAGTGTCCCCAGAACCCTCTACTGAGAGTTTCATGCTGTGCTTGCTGCAGAGAAAGGTTGCTTGCAGAGTCCAGCCCCTCTGTTGCAGCACAGATGATGAAGGGTGAATTTGGAGCTGAGACGCGATACAGTGAGGGATTCAATTCACAGGGACCGAAAGCAGGCATGTGGGGGATTGGGGACCATGGGAGGGAGCAGAAAAGATAAGCAAAGGACAAGGTCCCAGTGGCCACCAATCTCCAGCAAATAGCCAATCCCCGAGGGAATCTTTAAAAACCATCAGCTTGGGAAAATGAGACTAAAAAGGCATTCGGCACAAAAATAGTAAATGTTCTTTGTTTAAACAGAGTAAGAGAGGAAGCAGCAAATTTTGCTAGATAGAAAATACTACCCGAAACAAGGGAAAAATCTGAACAAACATTTTGCTATAAATTTTAAAAAATAAAACCTTATAAGTATGTCTATGAAAGCAGATTATAAATCAGAAATTCAAGGAAGAAGTTAGAAGAAAGCAGGTGGAACATGAGCCAGCAGATGTCAAGCTAAAAACAGAATAAAATGAAAGAATACCTGAGGCAAGACAGGGAGGGATAAGGAGGACTTAGCTTAGAAAAGTTAATGAAAATTAAATAGAATTAAAGAGTTTAAAAGGAGATTTTTTGTGAATGTGATTTTCATTTCTCTAGGATAAAAATCCAGATAGAGACTCCTAGGTCATATGGCAAGTGCATGTCCAGCTTTTTATAAAACTTCCAAGTTGCTCCCCTGTCACTCTCCGTCTTCGTGGAGGAACGACACAGGACCCTGCGCTGTTCTTTTGTCTGCTCGGCCCTCCCCGGGTTTGCTGCTGGTTCTTCCCGGGTTGGCTACCATCCCTTCCACCTCCGTGGAAGGGCGGTTCCCCCTGCCACATTCCCCACTTCCGCAGGGGAGCGGCACACCGCCGGCCGGCTCTCTCGGGGGCTGCACAGGTGTTCCTTCAGATAGATGTTCCCCTTAGATGTTCCTGGTGCATGCCGTCTCTCTCCTCCTTTATAGTCCTCCTCCGCCAATCCCAACTCTGCTACCCACACGCCGAGTACGCTGCTCTCCTCCAATCAGGAGCAGGATCAGCTCCTGGAGGTCATCACTCAAGTTGGCAAGAGGCAGCTGCGTAGAAGCTGTTTTCTCCTCTCCCAGCGCCATATTGTGGGAGAGCAGATGCATAGAATAAGTCTTAATTCCAGTAACAGTATAGTCCGAGTTGCTCCCCCCCCCGCCCCCCAGTAACTGGTACTGGGCCAGATCAAATCCAGGTCTCTCACATAGGTGGCAGGGATCCAAGCACTTGAGCCATCGTCCCCTACTGCTCTCCTGGGGTTTGTATTAGCTGAGAGTTAGAATCAGCAGCAATGGAGCCAGGACTTGAGTCAGCCACTCTGATATGTGATGAGGGTGTCCCATGTGGCATCTTACCCACCGCACCAAACACCTGCCCCAGGGTGGAAATTTCTGGTCCCATCTCTTGCCTGTTATATTCAGACTTTTTCTGAATGTCACAATTCCACACTTGAAGTATTAGATTTGAAGGGCCTTGCTCCTTTCTCTCACCTCTACTCTTGGTTTGCTCCTCTTCTCCCTACTCCCTGCATTGCCCTCTCCTCCCCCATCCTGCCCCTCTAGTTTCTCGAATTCCCAGTGACCCACAGACACACACTGGCAAGCTCTAATGTGGGACAATACTTCAGCACAGCTATTCTGGGTGTTTTTTTTTTTTTCATTTGTTTCCATTCTGGTTGTTACATTGAAACTGGGAAGTAGGCATGACTCCCACATGCCCTTGCTCTAATAGAAAAAGAGACAGCCACTTCTTAAATGGGAAGGTTTAAAACAGATCCAGAAAGTGCATGCCATTCTCAGAGACTGCCACCACCACCTTTAGGAATCTGTCAGATAACTGGTTATTCTGGTAGAATAATTTAACTGTCTTGGCCACAGCACTCATGAACACAACACAGCAAATAGCATTTGAACAAGATAAACATTCAGTCCGTGTTTAATGTTTAAGTATGGTTTGCCAAGGACACCAAGTTCATGACACTCCACTGGTGTTTATTTTAGGAAGTGTCACTTTCCAGAGAGTGGCACTGTCACCTTCTCCCCCGCGTACCCCACTGTCACAGCCCTGTCAGAACACTCGGAGCTAGGTGTTCTCAGCACGGCTACGCCCCCTCAGCTCAGCTCTATGTAAATCAGGAATAGGGAACGTGAATTAGCATTGGCCCATCTCCCCTTGAGGGATTCTCCTCCCCACTGATGCTGTCACTTCTTCCTCACGGTCCTTGCCACTCTGACAGCCACTCCCGGAGACGCTGACACACAGACATGGCAGCACGCAGGCCCTGACTGCTCCCCCACCTCCACGTCTCCCCTCAGGACTGTGGAATCTTCTCCCTGCCGTCAGCGCAGACCCCTCACTGCCCTGGCTCCACCTCCCACCCCGCACCCCGCACTCTCAGTTCAGTTCCCCTTACTGCGCATCAATATGATCTCACTCATGTTGCGGGGCGGGGTGGAGGGGGGACCTCTTCAGTGGTCTCTTCTCAAGACCCAAGTCACACAGTCATGCTCCTTGGAGTATAGGGGGAAAATACGAACTAGCTCTTCTCTCCCTCTACACACACACACACACACACACACACACACACACACACATGCCTCCCACTCCCTCACTGTGATGGACAGGATGTTTCTCCCACGCCAAGCAATTCTCCAGGGGAGCCAACTGGGTGTCCCGCACATCATTTCCATTCTGACACCAACTGGAATTAGTGTAGACACCACAGGTTAAGAGCTCTGTCCCACAAGACTGTCCCCACTTCAGCAGCCAATCACAAGTCGCAGGTTCTGGAATTAGCCACGCCTCTGTCTGACTTGACTACCAATCAGGGCTTCCCATGAGTCTCTCCTTGGGTCTGTTCATCTGCTAAAGCTGCTCACAGTTTACCTCCCGCTGCTGACTTGCCGCACTGGGACTTGTCAAAGGGCACGGATGAAGAGCCGGGTGCAAAGAAGGCGAGGGCTGGGCGTGAGGAGACCGTGCAGAGCTCCCAGGCCCTCTGCAGTCCCCTCCTCCGTGTGTGCCACAACCCCGACTTGCTCTGAAGCCTGCCCTCCGGGATTTTCATGGAGGCCCCGTTACGTAAACATGATTGATTAAATCATTGGCCGCTGGCGATCAGCTCAGCCTTTGACTCCTCTGTGGTCCCAAAGCACCTGAAAATGTTTCAGTAGGGGCCCTACCACGTTATATTCATGATCTGTTAGCAAGTTTCTCTCCCTGACTACAAATGTCTTGATTAGAGGCGTGTCTCACCCTCTCTCCATTGCCAGTATTTAGCAGAGTCTTGGAACGTGTTAAACTCCAATAAACACTGGCTGACTAAGGGGGTGAACACGAAAAGCTAACCATTTCCTGGATGTTTGAGGCACTACATAATTTCAGCTTATTCAACTGTTTGGAGTAATTGTCCAGGAAGATTTACTACCTTTCTGATTCTGTTTGGTATTTTCTTTGACACATCCCAATTTTAGCCTTTTAGGTCTCCAAATTGCACTCTGGGTGTGTGCTGAAGGGGCTTGAATTGGAATGTCTTAGTTTCTCAAGCATGAAGCCGTGGAAACATCCTTCACTCTCAGGGGTGGTTAAACCTGGGCAGTAACACAGACCTATCAATTCTTTGCTCCCTGAAATATTTACTGAGAATCTGCTAGCTATAAGGTAGTGTATGACCTCAGAGACAAATTTATATTTGAAACCCTAGGCTTCCCTCTCCTAGCTCGCTGCTGCTCTTCCACATGCACTGTCCATCCCATCAGCCCCTTCTCAAGGAGCCTGCAGAGCAGGGCAGTGCGTACAGGAGCCCACCCCTGTCTGCCGGGGACATGTGCCAAGACCCCAGTGGATGTCTGGAACCGTGGGTAGTACCAAACACCATGGACAAGGTTTTCCCTGTGCATGCATACCTATGATAAAGCTTTAAGGTACCAGTTAGGCACAGTTAGAGATGAAAATCATAGCTAACATAAAGAAGAGCAATTATAACAACATATTATAATAAACGTTATGGAAAGGTGGTCTCTCTCTCTCTCCTTCTCAAAATATCTTACTGCAGTTTTCACCTTCTCACTTAAAGGAAGCACTATGATAAAATGTCAGGGTGTTTAATATGTGGATAGCCACTGTGGTGCCACAGAAAATGCACCGGTTGGGACACTTCCAAATATGCCATAGAGCTTTGTCCTGTGGCGCCTTGCACAGGACTGAAGCTGCATCACTCATCTGGCTCCTCACCTTCTCACAGCAGCCCTGGCCTGGTCTGCACTTGGAGAGCATGTGGTCTAACACAGGTGTTCTAAATTAAATAAGCCTGATTCCACCACCACACAGCTGCCTGTCCCAGGGTGCTGGGCCCAGAGAGCCTACATGCTTTTGCAAAGAGGAGAGTGGAGCCTAGAGAAGCAGTCAGTTGCTAACTTGTTGCTCCAAGTACCCTTGCTTCCAGATGTCTGGGTCCAGACCCCAGGGATCATTATAGATGCTGTCTTCACTGAGCACCGTGTGTCTACTTTGATTCATCAATTATAATCCCTGCATTTCCTGGTCACTGGCTCTAAGTCAGCAGCCCCCATGCCACTCAATCCATTCTACAGGTGGCGGGTACCAAGTAGCAAACATTCCCCCATCCTATGCTCTGGGTGAGCCTGGCACAGACCTGGATTGTCCTGGGCATGTCCCTTGAGTGCCACAAGCAGTGGAATTAGTAGCCAGAGCATCTTGTTTGTTGCTTGAGTCCAGGGTGGCTCAACCTTTGCCTCCCATCCAGGCTGATGAAATGCCAGCTGCAGCTGCTTCAAGGTGGGGCTTCACAAATGCAGGGCAGTGCTGGACCCAAGTGACGTCACAGTGAGCCCTGGGGCTAGGCAGCAGGCATGAGATGCAAGTTAGCCTGGCCTCGCTGGCTCTGCACAACCCAGTCCTTGCCTGTCTTGTGATCCCTCCGCAGGGGTAGCTCAAGGGACTCCCAGGCAAGTAGTGCCTGCAGGCTCCCTTTCCACCCCCTGTGTATCTCAAGAAGCCCTGGATTCCACTGTCTGTACTGGCATTGAAGGATGTGGTGGTTTTGGGGGCTTGGGGTGAGCTCTTACAGTCTCTGGAACGAGGTCTCAAAAGCCTGCTAGACTTTGTTAGGAAATGACCATGAGATTAGTTGAAGGTGAAGGGATGGAGTGAAAGCAGATCACATGGTAACATTTGCATTGAAAGATTTGTCTGGGCGAAACATGGAGGTTATTCTAGAGAGGATGACATGGGAAGCGGCTCCAGTGACAGAGATGACAGACAGTAGTGGCCTGGAGTCAGGAGGAGATGTGGGCACTGATGAGAAACAGTGCAATCGAGAGAGAGAGGAGACAGGTCCTGTGGCTGCTGGGCTCTGCGGGACGAGTAGGCGGGTGCAGCTGCAGATCTCAGGTTGGGGGCAGAAGGGCAGGCAAGAGAGTGGTCAGCGCCTGAGGCCTTGGGTCTGGAGGAGAAGCCTGGGGAGAGCGTGTGCTGAGATGAGAGGGGGCTGAGCCCCGAGAATCCATCCACAGAGACGTGCGGAGAGGAGACGGAGCTGGAAGAGGAGGCTGGGAGCATGGACAACGGACCATGGATGCTCTGGGCGCAGGGACGTCCCTGAGCATGGACAGTTCCTCCATGAGCGCCAGTCTCTCCAGGTCTCTCCACGTCTCTGCCACGGGCCTCACACCCTCTCCCTCGGCCACACTCTCCTTTGCTTTCACATTCTCTTCGGCAGTCTAGGTATTTAGGTCTTGTCACCTTAAGACCTGCTGTACAACCCTATCCCCTCATCAGCAATAGCACCTGTGTTTCATTCTTGAGCATGTGATGGCTGAATGAATGAAGCTCCCTCCACCTGAAGCAGCAGTTATCCACAGGGCTCCCAGGTTCCAGAAAAGACCCTGCCCCCAACCTTCACTCCTGTGCCCGTTTCCTACTCTGTCTTCTCCATTTCACTCATGAAGTCAGCCTCTGTCATCAGTACACATTCACTCTCTGTCGCTCTCCCACTGACTGTAAACTTAATGAGGGCAAGGACTTTTTTATTTACTCCTACACCCTCAGTTCTTAGAATGGCACCTGGTCCATATTAGGCACTTAATAGTTGGGTCGGATGGAAGGCTGGATGGATGCATGCGAGCCCTGGGGAGACTTGATCTCACTCAAGCTGGAGGTTGACCTATGATCCTAAAGCATTCAAGCTCTGGCTCCACCCCAGTGAGTTGCATTATATTGAGCAAGTCATTTAAAGTCTCATCTCCTAGATATTTTGCAAAGATTAGGAAAAATAATGTAAAAATTGGATATGATTGGTTGGCTGAAAGCCCATCAGGGGAGCAGCGTTGCCTACATGGGTTTGAATCCCGGCATGCCAATCAGTAACCTGGAAGGCTCGCCCAGTCTCTGGACTTGTCAGCAGGTGTTTCCATCTCCACGGACAAGCAAGGGCCTAACCTGATCCAGCACACAGAATTGCTCTGCACGTTAAGTGTGTCTGCAGATGCAAACACTGAGGTGCACAGGAAGGCAGCAGACTAAGTCAGCGTCCTGCCCTGTCAGCTTCCCGGCTACCTCACCTGGAATCACAGAGGGTCTCGGAGGAGGATGACCTCCGAGGTGGTGCCGAAGAGACAAGCCTGTGGCTGTGACCTGTGCCAGACCAAAGATGCCAACCTAGAGGCTGAGGCTGTGGCCTGGACTTCAGAGCTCACCATCATCGTGGCAGCAAACACATGGGTGTGTTCGTTGTTGTGTACTAGACCCTGGGACCCAGCCCACCCTGCTGTCAGCCCTGACTGGTGGCTTCTCCTCTTCCCACTGGGCAGAGGTAAGCGAAGCTCTGAGAGGCTCAGCGGCCTGCCCGAGGCCCTTTGTGGGAGTGCCAGAGCGAGATCTGGAGGTGGAAGGATCTGTACATCTGATTCCAGAGCCCCCTCTCCAATCCAACGCGCAAATCACTTCCTAGGTCCTGCAGTGCCCATCTGAATACGGGGGCAGCTTCCGGAGGAGGCGAGTCCCCGCACGGATGGCAGTCAGGAGACAAGAGGCATCCTCCCAGGGCGTCTGGCTTTGGTGCTCGCTGGGTGTTGGTGAGGTCCTTGTGCCTGAAGGGTTGCAGTCCCGCGATGCGGCTGGGCTCCACGCAATGCCAGGTACCGGCTGCCCACACTGCGGCACCCGAGGAGATTCAGAGGCGGAGCCTTAGCGCAGCGCGATGGAGTTCCGTGCAGTGGCCGCGTCCGTTGTGAGAGCTTGTGGTGGGGGATCTGGTAGAGCGAGGCAGTTGTACAGACCCGCGCCAGGGGCTTGCCCCGGCTAGGATGACTTACTAGGTTTTCCTACACGGCCCTGCTTGGCAAACTGCTGCAAAATGGGAAAAGCACAGGGCTCCGACCAGACCTCTCCCACTGCCGATAAAGGAAAACTAAAGCAAAGGCACCGCGGAGCAGAGCGGACAATCTGAGCTACACATGGATTGTGATCAAACCCCGCTTTATTCTCATCTCACTGCCTCTTTAAAAGCCATTCCATGGGCTGATTAGTCTGGCCCAGATAAAAAACTTTTCCTGAATGTTCTTAATAGCCTGCAGCCACTTGAGTCCAAACCCAGTAGCCATTTGCAGATTGGAAGAGCCAAGCCCTTGGCACACTCCAGACGCTGGCTCAGTGCCAGGCTCCCGCCCACAGAATGGGCCTGGAGAAGAGCATTGCCCTTCCCTCCGCCCTGGCTCTGCTCCCCTGCGCCCCAGCATCACAGTTGCCGAGAGGCCCCAGGTCGCCGGGAACTCAGCTCCCACCTCCCAGGCCCAAGTGGGGTTACTTCTACACTGAGGTCACTTTCTGCTCCTTCTCGCCCCTGAGTACCTGGTGGTATGTCCCCAGCCTCTTGCTTCTGAAGTCTTGGCGCACTCCAGGAGGATTCTTTTTTTTTTTTTTTTTTTTTTGACAGGCAGAGTGGATAGTAAGAGAAAGAGACAGAGAGAAAGGTCTTCCTTTGCCGTTGGTTCACCCTCCAATGGCCGCCGCAGCCGGCGCACCGCGCTGATCCGAAGGCAGGAGCCAGGTGCTTCTCCTGGTCTCCCATGGGGTGCAGGGCCCAAGCACCTGGGCCATCCTCCACTGCCACAGCAGAGAGCTGGCCTGGAAGAGGGGCAACCGGGACAGAATCCGGCACCCTGACCGGGACTAGAACCCGGTGTGCCGGCGCCACTAGGCGGAGGATTAGCCTAGTGAGCCGCAGCGCCGGTCAGGATGGATTCTAAGCATCTCTCCCAGCATCTGACTCCCTGTGCAGCGCACACTGGGCCCCTACCCAGCAGCAGCTGTCTCCACTAGGCCATGCTGATACTTCTCAAAATGGTCCGGAGATGATTGACACTGACTCCCAGCATCCGAGAGCTGCTTCTGGAAGTGCTCAGCGCTGCTCCCCAGCCCCCGGCCCCGCCAGCTTCAATCCACTGAATCGGGATCTGAACATAAGACCTAGAAATTGGCCTAAGATTGCCAGGTGACGCAAGGCACCAGTTATATATGAATTTGCAGATAAACTACATTCTGTTCAGTATAAGTATGTCCCAAATATTGCATTGGCCACACTCACACTAAAAAAAAAAAAAAAAATTGCAGCATCATCTTCTGAAATGAGCTTCAACTTGGCAGCCTATATTCTATATTTTTATTTGCTAAGTCTAGGAACCCAAATCTACACTGAACAAGGTCCAGTCTGCACACCAAAGTCAGTGGCATAGTTTCACTATGACCTCTCCAAAGTGTACGTGCTGGAAATGTCATTCACCGTGCAACTGTGCCATGAGGTAAGGCCCTTTGGAGGTGTCTGGGTCAATGCCACGTTACCAAGGCTGCAGGAGAGCCCTTACTCTCTTCCACACGGGATGACACAACATCCCTCTCTCCTGGAGGGTGCAATAAAGGTCGTCTTGGAACCGGAGACCCAGCCTTGACCTTGCCTTCGGCTTCCATGATGCAGCTCGGTGAGAGAGTACACATCTGTTCTTTATAAAGTTCCTACTCCAGTATTCTGTCGTAGCTCACAAGGGTCTGAGACAGCCAGAAAACCACTGACCAAGGAGAAAGCCACCCTGAGGCCCTCCAGAGTATGAGTCTGGCAATAGCCCTGGACATCCCCTCTCACCTGGCACCTGCTTTCCTCTTTGAATTTCTGAGGATGCCTTCTGCAGCACTGACACTGCTCTCCCCACCCTGGGCCCCCCATGTCTGTCCGAGTCTAGGAGAGCCTTACCTCTTGTAGCCTAAAAGGGTGGTCCCCTCTGGAATTGTGCAGGACACAGGCCACGTGGCCGAGTGACATAGTTGTCCCCACCCAGCCATCCTTCCACTAGTTGCAGTGCATCGTCTTTGGAAAGCAGCAGTGGACTACGTCTGAGTCCTGCACAGGAAACGGGCCCGAGTTCATGGGCACAGGAGACACATAGAGCCCATAGGATGGTCTTCGAAAGGCAAGAGCGCCTCCCCTCAGCGTGCTGTGATTTGGTTCAGATACTTCCCAGAAGTGAGCAGCAGCTCCCAGCGGGCACCTCTGCTGTCCCTGCCTCCCCATGCATGAGATCAGCTCTCATGCCCCATTCTCCAGACACCCGGAGCCCGGAATCCTTCTCCCCTCCACAGCCCCACCCCCGGCCCCAACAGACAGTGAGCAAAGAAGAAGCCATTGACATTCAGCAGGGGGCTGGTGGCTGACCTGTGGCTAGGAGAGACCTGAGCCCTAAGGCTGGGCAGTGGGAAAACCAGGGAGTGTCCAGCAAAGGCACCTGAGGACAAGGAGGGAGCCTGTTTGGTGGGACCAGGAGCAGGTGACCCGTATGCTTTGGGGCCGTCACCTGTAGGCCAGGGAGGAAGGCAGGGCCCATCATGAGGGCCAGGGCAGGCGAGGTATGATTCAGAGCAGATGGGGATAGTGCCAGCCCACATCCGCTCTACCTCTCCCACGGGTCCCCAGGGCCCAGAGCGGCTGCCTTCAGGAATCCACCAGTGGGGAAAAAATAGAAGAGCAAATTGATGAAGCTGCACCTCCCCAGAAAGCAGCTAGAGCCACACCCTTGGTGCAGAGCTGAGGGGCCACCTCCCCACCTGCGGGGCCTCACTTTGAGAGGGGACACTGGGTCCCCCTGCTGCAGGAGAGGAAACTGAGGCGTGAGGTTGGGCAGGGTGGACACACTGTCATCGAGGGCTGAAATGATCATGCAACTGGCTTCCAACCACTGGGCCTGGCCCTTGGCTAGCATGGCAGTTCCGAGACATTTGGGTCAATTCCACCCGAGTCAGCATGCAGAGGTACAAACTAACACATGTAGTAAGGTCCAAGTCCTGTGACTGCATTGCTGGCATCAGGTGAGGCCACGGGCTGCACAGCTCCTTCTGACTCCAATGTTTTCATCTCTAGGAATGGGCAGGGACCCGTCGGAAGATTTGGGGAGCATGTGGAGTAAGTGGAGAGAGCGGGGATTGTTGCCTGCTGCTCAGGATGCGAGGGGAGGCTGGGACCCCTGAGCCCAGACCCTAAGCCCCACTCCTGGGGTCCGGGTCGGAGCCCAGAGCAGAGAACTAAGAGGGCCACTGTGCCACACAGGATGTTAAAGCTGGGAGCAGCCTCAGGGGCTCCTGGGTCCCCCTCCCTCCCCATACCCTGGGATACAGCCTGGAAGCCCCTGGCTCAGACCTTAGCCATGCATTCTCCGAGAAGGTCTGCTGTGGCAGGTGCTGTAGAATGGGAGGCTTCAAGGACAAGGCCCCATCGTGAGGCCACCGTAGAAACAACACAGCCAGAAAAGAAGCCTGCGTGACTTCAGTCTGCATTCTCCGAGCCGTGCCCACTGTGACATCACCAGCAGGGCTGTGGCTCTAAGAATGCAGCACTATTCCCCTCGGCCCCAGCCTCCGTAACCTCCCAGGCCCACAGCACAGCAAGGGCCATGCTCCTGTTCTCAATTTTCCTGCTCCTTTCCCGGGCCAACGGAAAAGATCTCGGTAGGTGGACTCTTCTCCCAGGGGCCAGAGCAGCTGTCGCAGGCAGGGCTGGGCCTGAGAGCTGGCCTCCTCACCTCCCTTCATCCAGTCAGTGGTGAGCGTGAGGACCAAAGGGACAGAGCTGGACACGAGCTCATGGATTTGCTAACTGGCTCCTTGAAGGCCGGGGCACAAGGACCTAGCTTGATGTTTTCCCATCCACCCCTCCTTGAGGCCACTTCTCTCTCTC